TATGGATCGGGCCGTACGACCTCGGTAGTGTATGTACACGATTATTATGGATTGGGTTGTATGACCTCGGCATAACTCGTGCGAGTTGTCACTCGTAGACCGATTTTACTTGATATGTCTGTCATGACTTGAGGATTTATAACCCATGCTAATCCCTTTCTTGTTGAGATTAATATGTGATATTTGGGGAGTTTTAAGTGTTATTTTGATAAATGGTCATTTAATTATTGCCTCTTGTACCATTATGGCCGTTGTACTTCATGCCGATTAAATAACCTTGTACATTATGTATATTGCCCACTAATAAGTGTCGAAGTCGACCCCTCGTCACTACTTCTTCGAGGTTATACTAGATAGTGTGTATATGTTATTTATGTATTCACGCTACACTTCTGCACATATTATGCAGGTTCTGAGGTAGGTGCATCTGGAGTTCGTCCGGGCGGGTATCCGCATTACCCGCCCGGGGCTTAGCGGTGAGTTGCTTTCCCATGCTCTATTCTGCAGCACCTAGAGCCTCTTGTTATGTTTTTATCATTTCTGTCTATTTTATTTCTGACAATAATTCTTAGAGAGTTTTGTATATTCTACTAGATACTCATGCACTTGTGATACGGGATTTGAGAATATCCTAGTAGATATTATATGGTTTTGAGTATTAAATTTACTATTTTACTCTTTCGTTATTTTACGCTTTACATTACTACAATCATCCCTTCATCGTTCTCTTATTAAATAAAAATTAATTATTTTTTAAAAAAAATATTAAAATGAGAATTAAATGAGTAGTTCACCGCTGGCTTGTTTAGCGGCGACGTTGGGTGTCATCACGACCTATAGTGGAATTGGGTCATGACACCAAAGATGCCATAAAAGGTAAGAAATTGGCTCAGTTCAGAAATTTGTTATAGAGGGTAAAATTGGTATTCTTTCTAGCTATCATTTTGGTTAGACAAAGTAAACAAAGGCAACCTAGGCCCAAAAGTTAGTGGCTACGGGGAATTGGATAAATATACTAGTAGATAGTTTTGTTGTGCTTCTTTGTAAACTGGACATATTACGTAAATGTGGATACCAATCTATGCGAGTAATTATTTTTAAGAAAACATTAAAAACCGAAAAGAATCAACTTGACAATACATACATCTTCTTCCCTTTTTAAAAAAAAAATTAGCTCACTAATGGCAGCTCAATCTCAATATTGACCCAACTCATAAATTATTATCTAATTTGGCCCGAAATCTTTTTTCTATTGTGGCTAACGCTTTCATCTCTGCTTCTCTTCTACTTAAGAAACTAAATGTATCATTTTGCAAAGCCTCCATCCAAAATGACAACTCTTCACCATTTCTTTACCCACTTCTCATATTGATTATCTCATTTTTTGTGAAGCATCAACTATCCCACTAACTTCAACAATCTAAATCAGAAAACTAAACCAGTAAATCCAATATTGACGCTTGCTTAACTTCGAAAAATTTAATTTTCCGCAATTGGATTTTATTTTGAGTGAGTATTATTAGAATAGATTAGGTACATCTCGGAGAGTTACTTTCGTGCATCGAAAAATATTTGGTTATTTAAAAATTGAAGAAGATGAGCTAAAACTCCATTGAAAGCCATTGAAACTCGCTTAAGATTAAGTTCAAAAATTTGAGTTTCCGAAATTGGAATTTGTTTCTAGTAGATATTGTTGGAACAAATTAGGTATATCTTTGAATCTCGACTTTGCAACAATTTTAGTGGAGATTCAAGGTGATTTGAATTGAATTTTAAGTCAATTCGAAATGGGAGAAATTCAAAAATAGCCAGATTTATAAGTGGTTATTCAAAAATAGCTACAGTTTCAAAAGTCATCGAAATTTAGCCACTTTTCATGTAAAGATAAATGTGAACGAAAACACTGTTCAAAATCCGAAAAATACTTCAGCATAATATACTGGAATTCCAGTATAATATACTGGAGCTCCAACAAAGTATGCTGGAACTCCAGTATATTATACTGGAGCCAACAAAGCATACCGGTCCAACATAATATGTTGGAAGTTCAACACAGGTGCACCTAACTCCAGTATATTATGCTGGACCGGTCTCTGTTTTAGCAAAATAGTGGCTATTTTTCAATGACTTGGCAAACGTCGACTATTTTTGAATTACCAGTCCAAAAACTGGCTAGCCCGTGCTATTTTATCATTCGAAATAGATGAAGAACATGGAAGAAAACGANGTGTGTGTGTGTGTGTGTGTATATCAATGTATACATGTATCTGATATACGTGGATATACAGTGAGATACATGTGTCGAGAAATACCTTTTTGACTCAATTTCAATTACGAATTTTAACTCCAAACCAATTCAAATCACTACCAATCTTTCTCAAATTTTATATATTGCCTTGTCTATGTATTTTAACAAATTTCAATCATACCTATTGAAAAAATATGTTTTTAAGGTATTTAAATATTATATATTATTGGTAACTTCTTATTCATAAAAATAGTTAAAGGGCCTTCTGTGGATAAGTGACGATAAATATTTTATTTTTTGGTATCTCTTTTTAAATGTCTCTTTTCTTGTGTTGTTAGCACGAGGTTTTAGGTTTGAACTTATACATTCAGACACAACGCAAATAAGCCCAACCTTAACGCATGTCTTGAGGAAATATTTGGGTAGGATGGCCACTTTTTGTGTCCGCTATGAGTTGTTTAGCCACTATTTTCTACAATGTGAAATTATACCGGGTACGTTATTGTTAATGAGTTTTTAGCCACTATTTAAAACATAATAGGGAGATATCCACTTTTTAATGGAAAAATCAAATTATAAAAAATTTCCTACTTAAAACACGAAAGAACCACATAAATCGTTCACGGGATTTGAACTTAATAATTTTGCTAACATTTGATTAGCGGTCCAAAAAATGGCTATGTACTAATTTCTTCAAGTCTTAAGCCCATTGACCTCTTCCTGCGGTATCCAACGTCTTAGTTCGTACTATTTATATTTTTCACACTCCATGTCTAAGTGGGCGTTTGGACACAAGAATTGTAAAATTCCAAAAAAAAAAAGTGAAAAAGTTTTTCAAGTGAAAATGGTATTTGAAAATTAGAGTTGTATTTGGACATGAATATAATTTTGGGTTGTTTTTTAAGTTTTGTGAGTAATCTTAGTGAAAATTTTGAAAAACAGCTTTTTGGAGTTTTTCAAAATTTCAAAAAATTCCAAAATGCATATTCAAGTGAAAATTGAAAATTTTATGAACAAACGCAAATTTCGAAAAAAAATGAATTTTTTTTGGAAAAAGGAAAAAATTTCTTAGGTCCAAACGGGCTCTAAATTCTCTTGTGCCTTCTCGTTGGTGTTAGTACTGTACTGTTTTATACCCTAAGATAACAAGTGTATAATTTTAATATAATGTTCTTGGCGGAGAATGCACTACAACAATTTTCTTTTAATTTCAATTGAAAGATCGCTTTTTATCTTTATATCCTTAAAGTTTGTTGTACATCCTATTTTTATGAATGTAAGATTTCGACCAAAAGGGATGGTATGCGAAAAGTGCTAAAATTTAAATAATAAATAATGTTATATTATGTTTATTGGAGTCATTAGATTAATTTATATTTTTGAAAGTTGTAGAATTTGTCTAGAAAAATATTAGTAGTATCTATCTCTTGTGGTGGGGAGAGGGTTTAACTCAGCGACGAAGCTAGCATAGGACTTGTTGGTGCACCGAACCATGTAACTTTGGATTAAATCATGTATTGATTTTAAAAAATTCATTGAATATATATAAATTGTTAATTTAGAACCCAGTAACATAAAAGAACTAAATTTCCGACCTCACATATTGTTAATTTAGTATCCCTTTAATTGTTGGGGAGACCTTTTCACTCTATTTTTTCATTTTATGTATACGCTTAGTGTAGCATGATATCAAACATCTTATGATGCAACAAAATAGAGAATTGATAAACTAGGATGAAAAGAGTATAATATTGAGAAGAAAATAAATTTAAAACAACCAATCCAATTTGAATATTTGTTTGTATAAAAAGTATCACGGCTCCTGGACATCAAAAATAAAATATCTCAGGTTATATATCGTTTTCTCTTTGGCGATTCTAACATCACATTTTGAAGAACCAATGTATGCGTATTATATTTTTGCAAGTATTAAGAAAAACTACATAAAATTATACTCCGTATATTTCTTTACTAGAAAGATTGTAATAGTATCATAATTGACTATAAATTATAAAATCAGGTCAGCATATGCAAAATTCCCCATCAGTTTTTCCAAGAATCCCAGCAATTCACATGCTGAGTCCATCCAAACGTCGATGTCTGATTTGCATCCGAGTCCTTAAATCTTTTCCAATCGTGAAGGACAGCCGTCAGATCAGCCAACTTTGCACTTATACTACGACAGCAATTGGCATGAACAGTTGCAACAACGTTAACATCTTTACTATCATCACAAAAGCCACTGAAATAAAGAGTGTCCAAAAACCTAACAGTGAGATCCAATTGTTTGAACATTCCATCTTTCATTAACTTGATCAAAACATCCTGGTCTTTCCATCCTGTGGAATTAATGTTGTCTTTTCCAGCATACCAAGCATCCAACAATTCTATGGTTTTGCTGTTTGATTTGATCATGTAGAAACCTGTGTTTATTGGGTTTTCTTCAGACCACTGGCTTCCGTTGAACTTGTCTGTACTGATTTGAAGGTCTACGGTTTGATTTAAGTACAAGTTCGGAAATGGATTCCTAAGCCATAGCACATCAGTGTCCTGTTGTATGTATAGACAAACAAAGTCAATGATCGACTTAAGTTATATATATTGACAGTATAAAAATCTATTTTTATACTATTGTTGTACTTTGAGTTGTTACACTTGGTTATTTACTTTATTTTTCAGGTTAAGTATCAATTATAGGTAACTTAACCCGATCATATTAAATAACTCTATGTTGTCAGCGTAGAGAAATTAATTGTTAGCAATTATCTGCACTCAATGTTCACACCAGGGGCGGACACCGTTTAATGAAGCGGTATCATGCGACACCGTTTCGCCGGATTTTTTTTATTAAATATATGTATTAATATTGTGACGAAATAGGTAAGTTAAAAAAATAACACCACTGACATAAATTATCTCTTGACATGTTAGTTATGTGCTTCAATTTGTTCTAAGAGATTAGAGGTTCACACATCAACTAGTATGTAATTTTGGCAAATATTTAAGAGAGTCTTTATGGTTAAAAATTGTGACTATAGAATTGAACTCTGATCTTTCTCTAACTTAATGCTTAACAAAACCAATGAACTAAAACTATTTTTTATCTAGAAATTATTTATTCCCGTTCTCCTATAAATTTTGACATCACTTACAAAAATTTTTATGTACGCCCTTGGTTCACACCACACTATATTAACTTATTATACTTAAGTGATTTAATAAGGTGAAGATATGCAATAATTGAGCATGGTTAAGTGAAAGAAGGGTATGCATAAACACATCATGCATCTATTGGTACATATCATGTATCTATTGGTCTGGTGTAAATATTAGGACGTTGATAAATTTTTACCAAATTAAACTAAAAATGATACACGTCCGGTGGTTTGTGATTCTACTTGTACCAACTAGAAGAATTTAGGAGAACCAAATGCAGATCTAGAAGACCGTACGTATTTCACGCCGAAATAATAGAAACTGAAATTGAGTTAGATTTAAACTTTTGACTTGCTTGTGACACATGTAGATCTCTTATGTCAGAGGCAAAAAGTACAAGATGCACATGATCATGCTTGAAATTAAAACGTATGCATTAACTGCTAACCAAGTCAAATATGGAACTTAATTATCACAAACGCCTTGGGTTAATTTGAATTTTGAAGACATTATAATTCGAGTTGTCTTCGCTCTTCCCCCAACATGCTACATGCTAACTCCTCATTAGTACTATATTGAACACAAGGGCACATAATAGTTTAGCAGCGTTTGTTTAGTAGAATCTGACCAAAAAGTAGTAATCTTTAAGTATAGTAGTTTACAACTTCCTATAAATGATTTTTTCCGGCGAACACACTAGTTCAACTNTAACTTTTGTATAAAAAGATTCATTTAAACATTTCCAATTCTCGTATCGTCCTTGGTTCTCAATGAGAACTTTGAAAACGAAAAAGGGTCTTATGGAAATTGGTTAAGTTAAAACATAGACTAAACATAGGCGGATCCAAGATTTAAATTTTATGGGTTCAATTTTAAATTTTTTAGTATTGAACCCATTATATTTTTAAAGTTATGGGTTCAAATCTACTATTTTTGTAATTTTAATGAATTTTTACTTATAAATTTTTACTCCGCGTCAAAAATTATGGATTCAATTGAACCCGTAGGTAATACGTTACATCCGCCCGTGTCCAAGAACTACAAAAGTACTAACTTGGAACAGATCCTTATTTTGTTAGTAATTACACTAAACATATTTACCGACGTTGGAGAACTTAAGAAAAAATAACCAAATATTACGGCTCGATTTACGTGTAAAAGCATGTTTTTAACGGCAAACATTGACTAGCTTAATCACTTTCTCTCAATTCTCCCTAGATAAACTGTTGTAATTATTATTCCCCGTTTTCACTTTCTTTTCCTCGAAATACTACATGAAATATGCCTACGTCACACTATTCGATGCTATGTTTTGTGCACCATCATTTTTACTACATGGAATATGCATCCCAAAGAATGTTAGAAAAATTGCTAGAACAAATTTTTAAGACACATAAACATACCGTAAAGATGAAGTTGTAACCTTTCTTAAGAACATCACCTAAGAACAAGGTTCTTCTCCACATCATCTTGATAAAATCTTGGGACATGAACAACTTTTCTCCACCAAAATCTACACCATCTGTTTCGAGCTTATAACAATGAAGATGCATAAACTTGCACCTTTCATATGAGGTTTGATCCATTGCAACGATCAAAAGGCGGTTCACTAATTCCCTAGTGCCTTCTCCTTCCCAAAAACCATCCAAGAAGAGATCTAGCATTGGTTTATCTCCCTCTATGTATGCTTTATTTACAACAGTAATTATTACCGTCTTATTCTCCGTTGCTGCTCCGGCCAACACTTTTTCGAGATCATCTTTAATATACACTGTTTCATGTAACTGCATGCACCCCATAAAAAGAAAACAAACAATATAAGACGTGAGAAGAATAAAATGTAGCTCGTTGCATTAAGCTCCCGCCAAACTGCATTGAGTCTATTATGATACCAATTTTCTTGCATTTTGCAAGATACTATTTTTACAGTTTGAACTCGTGATATCGCGCCGAGACTACTCTTAATATAGAGGGCCCGGGGAAATGCGAAAATGGGACTGAAGTTTAAAAGAGAATTAAAATGTTACCTGTTTTGAGGGGTGAAAGAGTGAGAGTTGCCAAGGGAAGAAGGGGGTGTTGCTAGCAGAAGTGAAGATATTAATGGAGAAAAAGAGTAGACCAAAGAACAAAATCATGTACTTGATATGGTGACTATGATCAATTATAATTCGATTTTTGGCGTGGTCCATTGCTGTAGTGGGGATGATTGATTTGCAAGGCCGAAGAACTGATCTTGAAAATAGACTTCTGAAGGAAGAAATTTTATGGACTTTCCCCATTGCCAAGTAAGTAAGTCTTTGTGTTTTTTATATAGCAAGAAGAAAATATGATTTATTTAATTAGACACCTACTATAGTCCAAGTGTCAAACCAAGCTTCGACTCTTTTATTATTTGATCGATTATTGTGCGCCGGGCCAGGTGGGTTGAGTGCAGGGAAGTTTTATATGGAGTAAATAATGGCTAACACGATACAGAAACATGAGACGAAATAAAACAGTTGTCCTTTCTAGCATTAGCCAAGATTTGGCGGATAATAATAAAATAATCTTGACGAAGTTTATTCTTCAGCTATCTCTTTTAAATGTTTTCTTACTATTACTTAGAATTCCTTTTAATTGTAAGTAGTAATAACTCAAATGCGACAAGTAATTTGACAAGAATACTAGCTGTTTAATCTTACAAGGACTTACATTGCTCTACGATGTGATTTCACACTTTGAAAATCGTCGTGGATTGCCATACGATGCGAATTCCCGCTTTGAGATTCATAGTAATAAATAGCTATAACCCTTCTTATTCTTAACCATTTAACATTAATGTAAGGGTAGAAACTAGGTCGCATCCGGTGTTTTTACTTATTGGATATAATTGGGTTTATATTGCAGGTCACCCGTGTGTAGAGACGGATCTAAGATATCGAGAACATGAATGTACCATTAAAGAAAGGAGGAAAAACAATATTAAGTATGAATTGATTCATGTTCTTTTAGATAAATAACTTAATATTTAACCAAGTGCACCATTCAACCTCTTTGGAGCATGGGGGGCAACATATAATATTAGATTAATTCTAGAAAATTTGTACATATAACACCTAATTTGACGGAGAGACCATTGGTGCACTTACTGTCACGACCCAAAATCCTACCTGTCGTGATGGCGCCTAACGTGCTACTAGGAAAGCCGACATTACGAAATAATTCCAACACCTTTAACAAAAATTGAATTAAAGCAGTATAAATAATAAAAGTTCTCATAGACATGGATAGAAACCCAAAACACAACGCGGAAGTTCCCAAAAGTTGGGGTGTCACAGAGTACATGAGCATTTATACATCACAAGTCCGACGAATACTGTCTATGATAGTCTAAAACTAAATACAATAAGCGGAAAGATAGGGAAGGAGAGACAAGGTCTGCGAAACACCAAGCAGCTACTTCGATAGTCTCTGAGAATCCGAACTCCACAACTCAGCACCCGCCGTGACCGAAAGCACTTGGATCTGCACCTAGCGTGAGTACAACCAACTCAATAAGTAACAAATCTAACATTTGGACTGAAAGCTAATGATGAACTCAGCAGGTATAGTTCAATATAGAAATAATAGTACAAAAATATAGGCATGCTTTCAAGTTCAACGTTAAACTCAATTCAATTAAAATAGATCAAATTCTGAATGATATGGGGAGTATGACCTCTCTACATCTACATGCCAATGCACATGCTGTATGTAATGCACCACTCTAAAAGCCTCGTGTACTCACACTCTCAGAATACTCAGTCACTCAGTATTGTATATGGCCAATCCAGCCCAGGGAAGATCCATCCCATGTATATATACATCAACTGACAGTCAGTCACTCAGTACTGCATAAGGCCAATCCAGCCCAGAGGAAGATCCATCCCCAAATATAATCAACTGCGCTCATTGGGGGTGTGTACAGACTCCGGAGGGGATCCTTCAGCCCAAGCGCTATAATAAGCCAAATTTAGGTATAAATTAATAAACATGCTGCAACATGCTGTTCGATCCCATATTGTCACTCTCAATCAGGCCCTCGACCTCACTCAATCATCAGTCTATCCAGTCTCTCTCTCTCTCTCGGGATCACAATGTCGTGAAATTAGCCCAAAAATGATGATATGATATAACAATAAATAGCAACAGAGAGTGAGATAAGATATGCAATGAATAAATATGACTGAGTACGAAATTTCAATGTAGTCAATAAGTCAACAGCAAGAAAAAGACCACTATGGGTCCCAACAATGCCAGTAATAGCCTAAACATGATTTCTAGCATGATTGATAGCTCAATTACTTTATCACATGATCAAAATACAGATATCAACAAGATAAATCCACTATACAGTTTCATGGAATCGACCAGGTCAAAGTTTGTACGGTGCGCGCCCACACACCCGTCACTTGGCATGTGCGTCACCTCAACACCAATCATATAACATATAACTCGGGGTTTCGAACCCTCAGGGTCAAGTTTAGAAGTGTTACTTACCTCAATTCGAAAAAATCTCTACTTCGACACACTTTTGCATCGTGAAACGGCCTCTCAATGCCACGAATCTAGCCACAAACAATGCGATACAATCAACACGGGCTAAAGGAATCAATTCCATAATGAAATACAAAGTTATTAATCAAAAGTTAAAAATCGACTCAAAAGCCGACCCCCGGGCCCACGTCTTGAAATTAGATAAAAGTCACAAAACCCGAAAGCCCATTCAACCATGAGTCCAACCATACCAAATTTATCAAAATCCGACACCAAATCGTCACGCAAATCCCCAAATCAAAATTTCCAAATCCCTAGCCTCAAACTCTCAATTTACACCTCAAATACACACCAACTAGGTGAGAAATCAATGGGGAAACAAGATTATTGATAAAAAATGAGCACAAAGGACTTAACTCAAGAAACCCCTCATAAACCCTCTTAAGAATCGCCCAAACTCGTGCTCGAAATGTTTGAAATGAAACCAAAATTGCGAACCCTTGTTTTAAATAATCTGCCCAGGCTTTCTGCTTCTGCAGACACTTAATCGCATCTGCGATGTTGCAAAAGTGACAATCCACCCACTTCTGCGGTGAACCAGTGGAGATGGGCCTCCGCTTCTACAGTCCTATCCCCCGCATCTGCGCAATCACAGGTGCGGAAATCCCCATCGTACCTGCACACCATCCGCTTCTGCGCCCTTCACGCCGCACCTGCAACCACGCAGGTGTGGAAAACTCCTCGCACCTGCGACTGCAGTCCTCCCCAATCTTGGCCTCATATGCACATCCTCAGCTCACACCTGCGAGCTCGCACCTGCGATCCAAGTTCAGCAGGTGCAGTTACACCAGTAGACTCCCTACTTCAGCTATGCACCAAGTCCCATTTTTGATCCGTTAACCATCCGAAATCAACCCGAGGCCACCGGTACCTCAACCAAACATACCAACAAGTCTTAAAACATCATAAGAACTAATTTGAGACTTTAAATGACATCAACCAACGCTAAAAATACGAATTGCACATCGATTCAAGCCTAATGAACTTTAAAACTTCAAACTTCTACATCCGATGCCGAAACCTATCAAACCGAGTCCGATTGATCTCAAATTTTGCACAGAAGTCATAGTTGACATTACGGACATACTCCATCTTTCGGAATTAGAATCCCACCCCGATATAAAAAAGTCCACTTCTTGTTAAAATTTTCCAAAAATCCATTTTTTGCCATTTCAAGCCTAATTCCACTACGGACCTCCAAATCACAATCTGAACACGCTTCTAAGCCCAAAATCACTCAACGGAGCTAGAGGAACCATCCAAACTCCATTCTGACCGAACCCGAACCAATTACCATGGCAAGTCACATAACATCTATAAAGTACAAAATGATCAGTAAATGGGGGAACGGGGCTACAACTCTCAAAACGACCGGCCGGGTCATTACATCCTCCCACTCTTAAACAAACGTTCGCCCTCTAACGTGTCTAGAAATGTACCTGGAGTTTCAAATAGGTGTGGATATCTGCTCCGCATCTCCCGCTTGGTCTCCCAAGTAGCCTCCTCGACTGACTGACCTCTCCACTGCACCTTCACTGAAACTATGTCCTTTGACCTCAAATTTCGAACCTGTCGATCCAAAATGGTCACCAGCTCCACATCATATGTCAAATCACCATCCAACTGAACCGTGTTGAAATCCAAAACATAAGACAGATCGCCGACATACTTTCAGAGCATAGAAACATGAAATACTAGATGAACACTCGACAAACTAGGTGGTAAGGCAAGCTTGTAAGCCACCTCTCCAATCCTCTGAAGTACCTCAAACGACCCAATATACCGAGGGATCAACTTGCCCTTCTTCCCTAACCTCATAAAACCCTTCATGGGCAAAACCTTAAGCAACACCTTTCCCCCAACCATGAAAGCAACATCACGGACCTTCCTATCAGCATAATTCTCCTACCTAGACTCCGCCGTGCGAAGCCGATCCTGAATCAATTTAATCTTATCCAAAGTATCCTGAACCAAGTCAGTACCTAATAGCCTAGACTCACTTAGCTCAAACCAACCCACTAGAGATCTACACCGTCTCCCATACAAAGCCTTATACGGATCCATTTGAATCCTTGACTGGTAGCTGTTGTTGTAGTCAAACTCCACAAGCAACAGAAACTGATCCCAAGAGCCCCCAAATCGATGACACAAGCGTGTAACATGTCCTCTAATATCTGAATAGTGTGCTTGGACTGTCCGTCCGTCTGAGGGTGAAATGTTGTGCTCAACTCAACCTGGGTGCCCAAATCTCGTTGCACGGTTCTCCAAAATTGCGATGTAAACAGCGAGCCCAGATCTGAAATGATGGACACTGGCACACCGTGAAGGCAAACAATCTCTTGGATGTAAATCTCAGCCAGCCGCTCCGAATAATAAGTAGTCCCAACTAGAATGAAGTGCGCAGACTTGGTCAGTTGATTCACAATCACCCAAATAGCATCGAACTTCCTCAAAGTCTATGGGAGCCCAACTACAAAATCCATGGTGATCTGCTCCCATTTCCACTCTTCACATGCTGACAATTGAGGCACCGAGCTAAAACCCCCACCATATCCTTCTTCATTCTTCTCCACAAATAATGCTGCCTCAAGTCCCAATACATCTTCGCGGCACCCGGATGAATGGAATACCACAAACTATGGGCCTACTCAAGAATCAACTCACGTAGCCCATCCACATTAGGCACAGAAATCCGACCCTGCATCCCCAATAGTAATATCTCTGGCATCATCGTGCTGAACCGTGTCCTTAAGGACAAGCAAATGGGAATCATCATACTGGCGCTCTATGATGCGATCATATAATGAAGACCGAGAAACCACACAAGCTAGAACCCGATTGGGCTCCGAGCCATCTAGTCTCACGAACTGGTTGGCCAAGGCCTGAACATCAACTGCAAGAGGTCTCTCACCAACAAGAATGAATGCGAGGCTACCCATACTCACCGTCTTTCTACTCAAGGCATCAACCACCACATTGCACATCACGGGATGATACAAAATAGTGATATCATAGTCCTTTAGTAACTCCAACCATCTCCGCTACCTCAAATTTAGATCCTTTTATTTGAACACGTGCTGGAGACTCCCATGATCCGTAAATATCTCACAAGACACACACTGTAGAGATAATGCCTCCAAATCTTTAATGCATGAACGATGGCAGCCAACTGCAACTCATGAACAATGTAGTTCTTCTGATAGGGCTTCTACTCATGCGAATCATAAGCGATCACTTTACCCCCTGCATCAAGACACACCAAATACCGATCCGAGAAGCATCACAATACACTGTATAAGAACCAGAAGCTGAAAGCAGAACTAGAACTGGAGCTGTGGTCAAGACAGTCTTGAGCTTCTGAAAGCTCTCTTCACACTCATCCGCTTTTGGGTCAATTTGGTCAAATGCGATGTGATAGATGGGAAACCCTCCACGAAGCGATGATAATAACCGGCCAAGCCGAGAAAACTCCAAATTTCTATATCTCTGTAGCTGAGGACGGTCTGGGCCAACTCTGAACTGTCTCTATCTTCTTTGGATCCACCTGAATTCCCTCACTGGAAACCACACGTCCCAAGAACGCCACTGAGCTAAGCCAAAACTCACACTTGGAGAACTTGACATAAATCTTCCCCTCCGTCAACCGCTGCAACACAATCCTCAAATGCTGGCATGCTCCTCCTAGCTACGAGAATACACTAGGATATCATCAATGGACACTATGACAAACGAGTTGAGATAAGGTTAGAATACACTGTTCATCAGATGCATGAATGTTGCTGGGGCGTTGGTCAGCCCAAAAGACATCACAAAGAACTCATAACGACCATAACGAGTCCTGAATGCCATCTTTAGAATATCCGAGTCCCGAATCTTTAACCGGTGATACCCAGACCTCAAATCAATCTTGGAGACACCCTCTCTCCCTGAAGCTGGTCAAATAGATCATCAACTGCTTGTAATCAATGCACAACCGCATAGTACCATCCTTCAACCGGTGTAATCAATGCATAACCGCATAAACAACCCTCCCCAACCATCCGCTGGGCCTTCAAATATAAAATCACTTTGCTAGAAACATAGTGTAGAGAACCTCTCCACTCGATCCTTGGCAACCCCGGCATCGCCAACGTCACAGTTTTAGCGTGACAATCCAAAATGGCATGACATGGAGATAACCAATCCATACCCAAGAACACGTCGAAATCAACCATACTAAGCAATAAGAGATCAAATCTAGTCTCCAATCCCCCAATAGTCACTACACATGACCGATATACACGGTCCACAACAATGGTGTCGTCTACTGGCGTAGATACATGAATAGATGAAACTAAGGACTCACGAGGCATATCCAGATAATGAGCAAAATATGATGATACATACGAATAAGTGGAACCAGGGTCAAATAATACAAAGGCATCCATGTGGCATACTAAGACAATACATATGATCACTGCATCTGAAGAAACAACATCTGGTCTGGAAGGAATAACATAGAATCAGGCCTGGCCACCACCTGATCGACCTCTCCCTCTTGGGCGAACCCTAGCTAACTGAGCCCCATCCCGAGTTGGCTGGGCGAGTGGTGAAGTAACTGGTGCTAAAGTCATAGTCTGACTCATCTACTGAGCTGGACCTCCCGAAAGGCGGGGACAATATATCTTTATGTGACCCAAATATCCACACTCAAAACAACCCCTCTCTAAATATGGTGTCAAGTACTGAGGCAGACCCTAAGAACTAGAATACCTGCTAGAAGCACCCGGTGCAGATGAACCCTGAACTGAAGAAGCATGGGACGAACTCTGAGCTGGAAGGGCACTGAGAGATGACTGACCCTGATGAGCACTATACGAACCGTGCCGGATGATGTACCACGATGAGCTGTCTGAGCGTGCCTATAAAGACGACCCCTGCCATGGTAGAACTGACCTCCAGAAGGAACACCGCTGAAACCACCCGATCCACGGGGTCTCTTGGCCTCTCTCTCTCCACACTTCTGGCTATGGACCATCTCTATCCGTCGAGCAATGTCAACTACCTCGTTAAAAGTTGAACCAGATACCCTCTCCCTAGTCATAAGTAACCGCAACTGATATGTGAGGCCATCAATGAACCTCCTAATCCTCTCCCTATCAGTGGGAACCATCCAAACTGTGTGATGAGTCTAGTCAGAAAACCTCATCTTGTACTGCATCACAGACATGCCCTCCTGACGTAACTTCTCAAACTGTCTGCGCAAATCCTCCCTGCGAGACTGCGACACAAACTTCTCCAAGAAGAGAACGAATAACTCCTACCATGTAAGTAGTGCTGCACTGACCGGCCTGCACCTCTCATAAGTCTCCCACCATCTGAAGTCAGCCCTATTGAATTGAAAAGTAGTGAATGAGACCCCACTGGTCTCCGGAATACCAGCCGTTCTAAGAATCCACTGTCACTTATCCTAGAAGCTTTGAATATCCTCTAATTCAGCACCGCTAAATGATAGAGGCTGAAGCCTCCCAAATCTCTCAAGTCTCCCCTGCTCATCATCGGCCATAACGAGGACCACCTACACCTTAGCTGTTACAATCGGCTGGGTTGGTAGTACCCCCGGTGTCTGAAGTCCCTGCATCACCTTCTCTGGAGTACTGGTGGCGGGGGGTACGAGTACCTCCCCCGACCTGAGAAGTGGCTGGTGCGGTCTGATCCGAAACCACCTGAGCAAGGCCAATGCAAACAGTCAATATCTGGGCCAGAGCCTCTTGAAGGCCTGGAATCACAATGGGCACAACTGGTGCATGAGATGGCCCCACTGGCTAAAGTATATCTGGAACCTGCTCCTGAGCTGGAGCAACTGGTGGATCTGCAGGTGCTGCTCTAGCTGTTGTACGAGCTGCACCTTTGCCCTTACCGCGATCCACTACCGTGACCTCGGCCTCTCGTGGCCCTAGCTGATGGTATTGGTGGCTGTCCATCTTGCCCGGTAGCACGTGTCCTCACCATTTGTGAGATAATAGAATAACAGAAATTATGGACAGAAATCAAAAAATTTGCACGACAAGAATATGAGAATGTGAAGTTTTCCTAAGGGTTCGACAACCTCTCGAAGATAAGTACATACCTTCTCCGTACCGATCCGCAAGACTCTACTAAACCTGCTCATGGCTCATGAGACCTATGTAACCTAGGCTCTGATACGGACTTTTCACGACCCAAAATCGCAACATGTCGTAACGGCGCCTAACTTGGTACTAGTTAAGCAGACATTACGAAATAATTCTGACATATTTAATAGAAAATAAATTAAAGCAGTATAAATAATAAAAGTTCTCATAAATAGGGTTTGAAACCCAAAACACAACGCGGAAGTTCCCAAAAATAGGGATGTCACAGAGTACATGAGCATCTATACATCACAACTTCAGAAATTACTGTCTATGAAAGTCTGAAACTAAATACAATAAGTGGAATAATAGGGAAGGAGAGACAAGGTCTACGAATTGCCTAGCAGCTACCTCGATAGTCTCCGAGAATCCAAACTCCACAACTCAGCACCCGCCGTGACCGGAAGCACATGGATCTGCACAATATGTGCAGGGTGTAGCGTGAGTACAACCAACTCAATAAGTACCAAATATAACCTTTGGACTGAAAGCTAGTGACGAACTCAACAACTATAGTTCAATATAGAAATAACAGTATAGAAATGTAGGCATGCTTTCAAGTTCAACAGTTAAACTCAGTTCAAGTAAAATAGATCAAATTCTGAATGACATGGGGAGTATGACCTCTCTACATCTACATGCCAATGCACATGCTGTATGTGATGCACCACTCTAAAAGCCTCGTGTACTCACACTCTCAGAATACTCAGTCACTAAATATTGTATATGGCCAATCCAGACCAGGAAAGATCTATCCCATATATATATACATCAACTGGCAGTCAGTCGCTCAATACTGCATAAGGCCAATCCAGCCCAGGGTAAGATCCATCCCCAAATATAATAACTGTGCTCACTGGGAGTGTGTACAGACTTCGGAGGGGCTCCTTCAGCCCAGACACTATAATAAACCAGATCCAAGGATAAATCAATAAACATGCTGCGGCATGCAGCCCGATCCCATAACTGTCAATCTCAATTAGGCCCTCGGCCTCACTCAGTCATCAATCTCTCCAGTCTCTCTCTCGGGCTCACATTGTCGTGCAACTAGCCCAAAAATGATGATATGATAAGTAATAAATAGCAACAGAGACTGAGATATGATATGCAATGAATAAATATAATTGAGTACGAAATTTTAATGTAGTCAATAAGTCAACAACAAGAAAATGACCACTATGGGTCCCAACAATGCCAGTAATAGCCTAAACATGATTCCTAACATGATTGATAGCTCAATTACTTTATCACATGATGAAAATACAGATATCAATAAGTTAAATCCACTATACAGTTTCATGAATCTATCAAGTCACAGTTCATACGGTGCACGCCCACACCCGTCACTTGGCATGTGCATCACCTCAACACCAATCATATAACAAATAACTCGGAGTTTTGAACCCTGAGGGCCAAGTTTAGAAGTGTTACTTATCTCAATCTGGGAAAATCTCTACTGCAACACACTTTTTCTTCGCGAAACGACCTCCGAAATGCCTCGAATCTAGCCACAAACAATGCGATACAATCAACACGGGCTAAAGGAATTAATTCCATAATGAAATCCTAAGTTTTTAATCAAAAGTCAAAAATCGCTCAAAAGCCGGCCCAAGACCATGTCTCAAAATTCGATAAAAGTCATAAAATTCAAAAGCCCATTCAACCACGAGTTCAACCATACCAAATTTATCAAAATCCGACACCAAATCGTCACCCAAATTCCAAAATCAAATTCTCCAAAGCCCTAGCCTCAAACTCTCAATTTACACCTTAAATACACACAAACTAGGTGGGAAAATCAATAGGGAAATAAGATTATTGATAAAAAATGAGCACAAGTGACTTACCTCAAGAAACCCCTCGTAAACCATCTCAAAGAATCGCCCAAACCCGTGCTTGAAATGAAGCTAAATTTGTGAACCTTTATTTTAAATAATCTGCCCCAGGATTTCCGCTTCTGCGGACACTTAACCGCATATGCGGCATATAAAAGAGATAATCCACCCACTTCTGCGGTGAACCACTGGAGCTAGGCCTCCACTTCTACGCTCCTATCCCCCGCATCTGCGCAATCGCAGGTGCAAAAATCCCCAATGCACCTACGCACCATCCTCTTCTGCGCCCTTCACGCCGCCGCAGGTGCGGAAAACTCCTTGCACCTGCGACCACAGTCCTCTCGAATCTCGGCCGCATCTTCGCATCCTCAGCTCACACCTGCGAGCTCGCACCTGCAATCCAAGCTCCGCAGGTGCGGTTACACCAGTAGACTCCCTGCTTCAGCCATGCACCAAGTCCCATTTTGATCTGTTAACCATACGAAATCAACGCGAGGCCCCCGGGACCTCAACAAAATATACCAACAAGTCTTAAAATATCATACGAACTAAGTCGAGCCTTTAAATCACATCAACCAACGCTAAAAACATGAATTGCACATCGATTCCAGCCTAATGAACTTTAAAACTTCAAACTTCTACATCCGATGCCGAAACCTCTCAAATCGAGTCCGATTGAGCTCAAATTTTATCACACAAGTCATAATTGATACTACGGACCTACTCTAACTTTCGAAATCAGAATCCCACCCCGACATAAAAAAGTCCACTCCCGGTCAAACTTTTCCAAATATCCAATTTTTGCCCTTTCAAGCCTAATTCCACTACGGACCTCCAAATCATAATCCGTACACGATCCTAAGCCCAATATCACTCAGCGGAGCTAATGGAACCATCAAAACTCAATTCCAGAACCGTTTACACATAAGTCAATATCTGATCAACCATTTCAACTTAAGTTTTAAAGCTTGAGACTTAGTGTCTCAATCCATTCCAAAACCTCACCGGACCCAAACCGACTACCTCGAAAAGTCACATAACAGTTATAAAGTACAAAATGAGCTGTAAATAGGGGAACAAGTGTACAACTCTCAAAAAGACCGGCCGATCGTTACACTTACGCTATAATTTGCTAAGTAAATACTCCCCTGTCCTTGTGGACTGATCCGACTCGTTTATAGGATATAAACTTTAAAAAGGTTACTAGGGACGTTTCTTAACTCCTAAAAGAACTACCACACGTTAAGAGAATAGTGGGAGCACATGATCAATTGATTCCATAGGTAGTTTTCCGAACAACCTTCTCTTCTTTAAAATTTCTCATTCAAGAGAGAAATTGTTGTCTGCTATTCTACCTTAGAGAAATAAAAATGCTTCAAAAAAGGAATTATTTTGTGAATCAGAACTTTGATTCCAAGAGAGGTGATGTAGACTTGGGTTAATTATATTGTTAGCAATTACAACAATTTTTTATGCGTGCAACAAGGTATGCAATTTATTGTTCTTGCTTTGTAATTTACTTGTTCAATACTAAAACAATAGATTGATGATTTGTATTTTGTACATGTATTTCAAGTACTTTACCATGGTTAATTACATATATATTTGTATACAGGTAAAACCGGGCCCATTAAATACCTCAATTTCCGATAAGTCAAACGGAACAGGAACATGACCGTAATGAATCAGAGTGAGAGCAAGGAGCCCTCGTATCGTGTCTCGGGAAAAACATCTGCCCTGGGGGTATCGGGGCCATGTCCTCCAGGTCCGGTTCGAGGATTACGACTTCAGAGGGCATTATCAAACAGCTACACACGACTAACAGATGGCCGTGTTGTCCGTGCCCAACCGGATATCACAGCATAAATCTCGGCATGTATCGACAGAAAATCAGTGATTAGCGAAATAGTAGATTTTTACCTTTCTTAGAATTGTACTTAAGAGTAAAATTCTCCTACTATATAAATGGGAAAGATTATTATTCAGGGTAGACATTGTAACACGCATATCAAGATAATTTATTTCAATTCTCTTTGTTGTTCAAAATTCTTATTCTTGTTCTTAAGCTCTTCATAAATATAAGCTTGGAATCGAGGTTAGGTTCTTCATCGAGCCATCGACCGAGCTCGGAATCACTCTTATCATTGGTTTGGTCATCTATTACGTTTTTCATTTGCTTAATCTAACATCATTGATCACTCGAATTGAATTAATCCACATTTCCTTAAAACCATATATAAATTCAATTGTTATCTATTTTTTAGGGTAAACAGTTTGGTGCCCACCGTGGGGCTAGGGATAATTGTGGTAATTTACTACAAATTCCCATAATGCACTCTATTTTACACTTGTTCTTTGGGATTTTAATTTCAGGTCAAATTAAAAATGTCGAACTCTCAATCTGCTCATTTGAACGTTGATGTTGAGTCTATCCAATATGGCGAGAACAACAATGTAGTGCCCAACAACAAGGTGCCCCCTATTGACCCAATAGAGTTCCTATCGCGGACCCGATCGATGCTAACGCACATGTAGCTATCAACGCAAACTTGCCTACTGACCCTAAAAATAGCGTTCGCGTGGGAGCCTGATCGATGGCCCGGAGTACACACGACGGCGAAGGTGATGAGATCAATTTGTGGGTGAACTTCAAAATGTTACAGGGTCAACATGCAATGATAGTCTAGTTGTAGAACCAAAGCCACACCTCCAGCAGAGTTAAGCCCGAACCATCTCGGGAAAACACTCATAAAAATGAACCGGCCACAGAAAGGCCGGGTGAAGTTAAACCCGAGACCAACCCTGAGATAATAAAGATGCTTGAGTAACTGACAAAACGGGTGGAATCGGGACAAAAGAAAATCGAAGTCAACAACAAAAAATTGGAAACCTATAACTCCAGGGTTGATCAAATCCCAGGAGCACCCCTCGATATTGAAAGGCTTAGATTCCAAGAAGTTCGTCCAAAAACCTTTCCCTCCGAGCGCAGCTCCAAAACTGATCC